TTCTTGCGAGGACAAAACTGAACCAAGCCTCTAGGTCAACACTATCCAGTAGAATTTTCTTTGGTGATGAAATTGTTTCTGTGCTGTACAGTACAGTAGCCACTAGCAGCTTGTAACTATTGAGTACTTGAAATGTGCCTAGTGAGACTGAGGGACTGAATTTTACATTATGTTTAATTTTAATTAATTTAAATTTAGCCACATGTGCTAGTGGCTACTGTATCAGCCCAGCCGTAGATCTCCGACCGGTTTACAGGTAACACAGTGGACAGAAGAATCTGTTAAGGTGACACCATGAAAATGCAAGCAGCCAGATTCAGAATGTGCAAAGTCTGTAGGTCACATGATATTTTAATTTTTATTTCAACAGATATATTGTATGAAAAACAGTGGAGTGAAGATTGTTATAAATTAAGAGACTTAAGATACATATAAGCTAAATTTAGTGTGTGAACCTTACTTGGATCCTGATTCAAACAAACCAGCTGTTAAAAAACAATCTGTGAAACAATTGGAGAAATTTGAACATGGGCTGGGTTTGAAACGATATTAAGGAATTGCCAGTTTTGTAGGAGTGATAATGATATTGTACCTATGTTGAAAGTCTTTTTCCTTCTTTTGTTTTTTCCTGAGGAAGATCCGCCCTGAGCTAACACCTGTGCCAGTCTTCCTCTATGTTGTATGTGGGATGCTGCCACAGCATGGCTGCTGATGAGTGGTGTAGGTCCGCACCCAGGGACTGAACCCGGGCCGCCAAAGCAGAGCATGCTGAACTTAACCACTAGGCCACAGGGCTGGCCCTGAAAGTCTTTTTCTTTAGAGATATATTCTAAATGGATGTAATGATGTCTGGGCTTTGCTTTAGATAATGCACTGTGTATGTGGTGGTAGAGCAGGGAGGCAGAGGATGGATGAAACAAGATGTAAGATGTTGTTGAGAACATAGGTGACAGGTGCATGAGTCTTCCTTCCACTGCTCTCTAATTTTGTGTATGTTTAAAAATTTTTTAAAATAAGAAAGTTTTTACATAGTAGTAATTAATATAATTATAGTATATGAAGAATAACAAGGAAATAATTTACTCAAAATTCAGAATAGGGAGAGAGGTGATTGGGAAGGGGCGTTACACAAGGGAGTTTTAAATTTTGAAGTACTAGTAATTAACTTAGTTAGTGAGTATGCAGTATTGGTATTATTAACATTTTTAGCTCAGTGTCTACTTTTCATGCAGTGTTTCGTATGTATGATATATTTCACAATAAAAAATAAAAAGAAAGAGAGCTTATTGTTAGGACAGAAAGCAGTCTTACAGAATCTAATTGCAGGAAGCACAGTTGGACCTCATGGGAATTAGAAAGTGGTCAGTTAGCCTCTCTGCATCTGTGTTCCTCCTGGACCCCGTGGTCCCTTGTTGCTTCTCTTTGCATGAATGCATCATTTTCCTGTCTCTGACAGTTGTCTTCTCTGCTTAGTCATCTGCTTTTGTCTGACCTAGAAAGCTTCTCCAAAATGGTAGGCTCAGTCTCTGACCCCACTGAAGCTCCTCAGACTGTTTTATTCTCTGATGCCATCTTCAGGTATTTGGGAAGAAAACTGGACTGACTTTGGGCAGGTGTTCACCCAATGAGCTATGGCCAGCATAGTGTATCGTGGTCACAGGGCCTGCCCCTTCCAAGGCTGTGAACAGGGAAAGTTCTTAAGAAAGGGTTGTAGACACCTCCAGTGCAGCATCATTGTCAGTAAAGGTGGAATATTTGAAACAGCCTCCAGCTTTAACAATAGAGGCTTGGGGCTTGGTTAAAGAAATTATGGTGTAGCCTGTGGGATAATATGCAGCCATTTAAAATTGTGGTGTAGCCCCATGTTTAGTAACCCTGAAAAGTCTTCATGAATAATGTTTGATAACATTTTGTGCATATCCTTTCAGAAATATGAATATAAACAAATATTTATATATATTTGTACTGAACCCTACAGTAAGTGGAAACTCTGAAACATTAATGGAATAATTAGTGAAAACTGTATTTTGGAGAATCCTGAGCTAGTAAGTATCACAATCCAACTGATCAACTCATGGTACAGTATTGTCCAGTAGAACCTGTGGTCTCCATGCCCCACACAAAGTTGATGGCTTGGGATAGGGGAAAAATATATAAATATATAGATGTATATACATATACATCTATATATGTACATACACACACATATATACATGTAAGTATATGTATAAATATATTTCTGAAAGGATATGCACCAAAATGTAAACAATGGTTATCTTTGGCTAGTGGGATTGTGGTTGGTTGTTTTGTTTTTTGCTTTTTTTTTTTTTTGGCTTATCTTTATTTCCTGAGTTTTCTACACTGAATAATGGATTATTTGTATATCAAAGTCTAGAAGGGTAACTGTAAAATGTTTTCTAATCTGTATTTAATGTGTTCTACAATGAGCAAAGCATATGTTAGTGTAATCTCAAAAAGCTAATTTGAAATAAATAATATGGAAATGTAAAGTCCTGCATTTAAGTTAAAAAGTCAATTATTTTCCAAAAATCTGTTTCAAAAATAGAGCATAGGAGAATCTGGGCTTAGACGAAGTGTATTTTTATAAGCCCTGGAGATCTTGATTGACTTATTTAGGTCAACGGTAAGTTTTCAGTTACAAAAAACCTAGTGCCTGGTTAAGGTATTACGTCAAGAAATACTGCGTCCTTATTAAGAGATCATTGTCTCAGTGTACTCTGCATGGGTTAGGTCACATCTGACAGAGTCATCTGTTTTAGCGTTCTTTCAGTGGGACAAAGTGAAACAACTAAATGGTCAGCATCGTCAGAGATCTAAGGGATGATTGAGAGAACTGGAGGGAAGTTCTGGTCAGGCTGGAAGGAACTTGCTGGAATGTGATAGCAGGCTGTAAATATTTGAAAGGATATTGTGGGGGCAGAGTGATCAAAGAGCAGAATTTATTAGGACACAGATTTTACTTAGGTCGACGTAGGGAAGAACTTTCTATTCTCATTATCCGTCTGTGAAAAGGGCATCTTCACTGAGTGGCAACATCTGACGATGTCTTAGACTCAGTTCCTTTGTTGAGAGGCGTAAAGAAAAGCTCACTCCTCCTGTGTTTCTCCTTGACTCTCGCACTACTGCCACACTCACAACACTTTTGACACCAGATGTGTGGGGTTTTTTCCCCACACCAAGCAATTCTGTGACACCAGCTGGGTTCCTACAATCTAACTCAATTTTGACACTCTCTACCTGGAGATGGCATCAGATCCCCCAGGTTTAAGGGCTTAGTCCCACAAGTCTGCACCCCCTGCACCCCTCCTCACTTCAAAGGTCAGTTGCAATTAGTAGGTCCCCAGGTTGCCTACGACTTCTGTCCCACTTGGCTACAAATTGGAAGTTCCTATGACCCACTCCTCCTTGGATTCGATTATTTTTTAGCTCACGGAACTCAGGGAAACACTTATTTACGTTAACCAGTTTATTAAAGGATACAGTAAAGGATGCAGATGAACAGCCAGATGAAGAGATGCAAAGGGGAGGTCTGGGAGGGTCTGGAATGCAGGAGCTTGTCTCTGTGGAGTTGGGGTGTGTCAGTGTCCCAGTGTACAGATGTGTTCACCAACCTGGAAGCTCCCCAAACCCCCATACTTTTGGGATTTTTATGGAGGCTTCATCACGTAGGCATGATCAATCCTTAACTCCATTTCTAGCCCCTCTCCCCACCTGGAGAATGGGGGGTGGGGCTGAGAATTCCAAGCTTCTAATCAGGGCTTGGTGTTTCTAGTGAGCAGCCCCCATCAGGAGCCCACCAACAGTCACCTCGTTAGAACAAATACACTGCTATCACCCATGAAATTCCAAGGGATTTAGGAACTCTGTGTCAGGAACCGGGGTCAAAGACCAAAAGATTAGAACAAAAGATGCTTCTAGTGCTCTTATCACTTAGGAATTATAAGGGTTTTAGGAGTTCTGTGCCAGGAACTGGGGGCAGAGACTAATATATGTATTTTCTATTATCTCACAAGAGGAAAATTGAGTGACGTAAGCTGTAAGGCGCTCCACCTAGAAGGGTGTGAATTGATGAAAAGAGAAAGATCTTGTTCACATACATAAAAAGAGACTAAAGTTGGATCACAGATATTTGCCTGTCATTTGCACTTTTATGTTGCTACTAACCTGAATCTTTCAGTGTTTGAGGTTGTATTTGGTATTGAGAAGTCAATTTGGGGCTTCAGTTTCTTGCTGTCTTAACTAGAAGAGGTTAAACCAGGGGTTATCTAAATACACTGAACCATATGCTTTTCTGAGTACTCAAGGAAAGACTAAGCAAATAAACCGTAAAACTTAACAGCTCCTAATGGTTCAGAGCATGTGCCTGGGTTTGAATCCTGTCTCTATATCTCAGTTTTCTTAGCTGCCAAATGGCTATGAAAATATCAGCCATGGGCTTGTTGTGAGCTTGGGGATCATGGCCTTCATTATGCATCTCACCTATGTACTCCTTGAAGGCATCTAACGTTTATTCAAGAAATCATTGGTGAGTGAGTGAGTAAGTAAATGAATGAAAGTAGAAAAATCCTTTACCTGACCTGGATATAGTGATGTGAGCTTATTGAGTGTAGAAGTGACACTATCCTTTGGCACTGAATCCCAGTTCGTTGCATCCTGCATCCCACTCTGCCCTCTGTGTTCTGCCTAATTTAATCATCTGCTTTTTGAGAAGTGTGATTCTTGAATTAGGAGTAATTCTTTGGGGACTTGTTTTAGAAAATGACTTATTTTTTTATGAATGAGTTATGACTGTCTGAAAATACTTAGATGTGATGACTTGGATAATTGATGTACTGGGCATCCCAGAGTATAAAGTTTGTGCCCAGAATATTTTTGAAATGAGAAAGTTGGTTGAAACTACCAGATTTTTTTAAAGGTACAAGATAATTATGATTGTGTTCCCTCTCAGATATTGAATTTTTCTTCCCCTGATTTTCTAGAGAATGAAGATCTAGAAAACACTAAGGTCACCTCTCCAGTGGCTCCTGCCTCTGATCCAGAACCCAATTCCTCATCCTACAGGTAGGGACAGTAACTGCATTGGATGAAATGTTTCTAGAGGTTTTATCTTCTGAGATCAGAATTGACTGCAAGAAGTGGGCAATGACTTTAAGGGGAAGACAAGTTGAAGTGAAGGGTATGGATGATTTTGTTGTTAATTAATCAACGCTTTAAGTGTATTTAGGAGCAATGTCAGATCTATTTCAGTTATAAAATTTTATTTTACCCTTAGAGAATAAAACTGAAACAAATAGTGCAGTGTCTTCATTTATCTTCTCCTGAAGACCAGGCTCAAATGTTAAGACATTTAAAGTAGATCCCAGGTGGACTTGCAAGAGAAAGTGTCTGGTTTCTACCCATAAAATGCATGCACATACACACACACACTCTCTCAGACACACACATGATTGGAGGTAGTTTTTTATTATGTAATTTTCAGATTAATTCATTATGATGACCTTCATGTTGTCATTCTTAATTTCCTTCTTTATCAATCTTGTCCACCCGTCATCATTGATATCAACGTGTATAACAGAAAGGGAACAATTGTACTGAGCCCTAGAATGAGTGGGAACCATGAAACATTAATGGAATAATTAATGAAAAACTATGTTTTGGAGAACACTAAGCTAGTGGGTATTATAGTTCAACTGACCAACTCATGGTACACTTTTGTCCAGTAGAACCTGTGGTCTCCATGCCCACACAAAATTGATGGCTGGGGTAGGGGGGAATGTTAAGATATTTTTAAAATCTGTTACTTCCTTGCAGATGACATGATCTTATATATAGAAAACCCCAAAGAATCCATAGAAAAACTATTAGAAACAATCAACAACTACAGCAAAGTAGCAGGGTATAAAATCAACATACATAAATCAGTAGCATTTCTATACACTAACAATGAACTAACAGAAAAAGAACTCAAGAACTCAATCCCATTCACAATCGCAACGAAAAGAATAAAATACCTTGGGATAAATTTAACCAAGGCAGTGAAAGATTTATACAATGAAAACTACAAGACTTTCTTGAAAGAAATTGACGGCGACATAAAGAGATGGAAAGACATTCCATGCACATGGATTGGAAGAATAAACATAGTTAAAATGTCCATACTACCTAAAGCAATCTACAGATTCAGAGCTATCCCAATCAGAATCCCAAGGACATTCTTTACAGAAATTGAACACAGAATCTTAAAATTCATATGGGGCAACAAAAGACCGCGAATTGCTAAAGCAATCCTGAGCAAGAAAAACAAAGCTGGAGGCATCACAATCCCCGATTTCAAAACATACTACAAAGCTACAGTGATCAAAACAGCATAGTACTGGTACAAAAACAGGTGCACAGATCAATGGAACAGAATTGAAAGCCCAGAGATAAAACCACACACCTATGGACAGCTAATCTTCGACAAAGGAGCGGAGGGCCTACATTGGAGAAAAGAAAGTCTCTTTAACAAATGTTGCTGGGAAATCTGGACAGCCACATGCAAAAGATTGAAAATTGACCATTCTTTTTCACCACACACCAAAATAAACTCAAAATGGATCAAAGACCTAAAGATTAGGCCTGAAACAATAAGTCTTCTAGAAGAGAATATAGGCAGTACACTCTTTGACATCAGTTTCAAAAGAATCTTTTTGGACACTATAACCCCTCACACAAGGGAAACAATAGAAAGAATAAACAAATGGGACTTCATCAGACTAAAGAGCTTCTTCAAGGCAAGGGAAAACAGGATTGAAACAAAAAAACAGCCCACTAATTGGGAAAAAATATTTACAAGCCACTTATCCGACAAAGGGTTAATCTCCATAATATACAAAGAACTCACACAGCTTAACAACAAAAAAACAAACAACCCGATCAAAAAATGAGCAGAGGACATGAACAGACATTTCTCCAAAGAAGATATACGGATGGCCAATAGACACATGAAAAGATGTTCATCATCGCTAATCATCAGGGAAATGCAAATCAAAACTACACTAAGATATCACCTTACACCCATTAGATTGGCAAAAATATCCAAAACCAAGAGTGACAAATGTTGGAGAGGTTGTGGAGAAAAAGGAACCCTCATACACTGTTGGTGGGAATGCAAACTGGTACAGCCACTATGGAAAACAGTATGGAGATTTCTCAAAAAGTTAAAAATAGAAATACCTTATGACCCAGCCATCTCACTACTGGGTATCTATCCTAAGAACCTGAAATCAGCAATCCCAAGAGTCCCTTGCACCCCTATGTTCATCGCAGCATTATTTACAATAGCCAAGACGTGGAACCAACCTAAATGCCCAGAAACTGATGATTGGATAAAGAAGATGTGGTATATATACACAATGGAATACTACTCAGCCATAAAAAAGGACAAAATTGTTCCATTCACATCAACATGGATGGACCTATAGGGTATTATGTTAAGCAAAATAAGCCAGACAGAGAAAGACGAACTCTATATGACTCCACTCATAGGTGGAAGTTAACATATAGACAAGGAGAACTGATCGGTGGTTACCAGGGAAAAGGGGGGTTGGGGGGTGGGCACAAAGGGGGAAGTGGTGTACCCACAACATGACTAACAATAATGTACAACTGAAATCTCACAAGGTTGTAATCTATCATAATCTTAATAAAAAAGAAAAACCACAACGTGATACCATTTCACACCCACTAGGATGATTATAATCAAAAAGACAGATTATAACAAGTGTTGGTGATGGTGAAAAAATTGGAACGCTCATGTATTTCTGATGGGAATGTAAAATGGTGCAGCTGCTTTGGCAGTTCCTTAAAATGTTAAACATAAAGTTACTATATGGCCCAGCAATTCCACTTGTAGGTGTATACCCAAGAGAAATAAAAATATCCACATAAAAACTTGTAAAAAAAAAAAAAAAAATCTGTTACTTCTTGAATTCTGTTTAGAAGTTCTTTCTTTTTACCTTTATTTATGGAGTAAAGCTTTTCCCCCAGAATTCAGATGATGGAAGATCATAATGATTAATATAATTATAATATAGTTGCTGATAATAATGTAATAGCCGTACTTTATTGAATGTTTCTCTGTTACAGTGATAAAAGAGTTACTTTTAATCAAATATTTCTATTTTCTCAATACTATATAGGTGTTAAAATGTATTCTCTCATTTAATCCTCATAGCAACCCTAATGAAATAAGTATACCGGTTGTTTTTTGTAAGATAAGGAAAATCAAATACTGAATTCAATAATTTGCCCAAATTCACACAGCTTTAGGTTTGTTCAACTCTAAAGCTTATTGTCCTAAGTAGCAATAGAAGGGTTTTGAGTTCTGTGCTTAGAGCAACTGGGTTATTATATGTGACAATCCTTATAGAAGACATGGCCTCTTCAGGGCTTTGATTATTTGAGACCATTCATGTTCTCATCAAATCCCCTGAGGAGAGCTCCTTTCTTTCTTCCTGCCACCACCCTTTCTCTGCACATGTTGATTTGAAGGATCCTTGGGGGATGGGTTTTGTCACAGAACTGTTTTTTCCTCCTAAGAGTAAATAAATTTTTTTTTTCCTCCCCAAAGCCCCAGTACATGGTTGTATATCCTAGTTGTAAGTCGTTCCAGTTCTTCTGTGTGAGCTGCCACCACAGCATGGCAACTGACAGGCAGGTAGTGTGGTTCCGTGACTGGGAAATGAACCTGGGCCGCCAAAGTCATGAGCACTGAACTTTAACCTCTAGGCCATCAGGGCTGGCTCGTAAATAAATTTTTTGAGCAAGGAGCATAGAACATTCTTAGACAAAAGGAGATTTAATTTTAAAGTTTTGTTTCTGAAATCTAGAGTGAAGAAGAAAATCCCGCGAGCGTGATGTCTAAAGTATAGTGTTTATGTTTGTGCATACTGGAAACGGAAACAGCTCTATCTCTTCTAGTGAGGCTGCCTGGCTGGCCAGACTCTCCCCTTCCTGTGGGATGGCCTCTCTGTTCCGGGTCAGCACAAACCAGAAGGCTCCCTGTGGGAGTTTACCTTTACGTGGTTTATCATCAGCATCTAGTCATTTGCAATTGATCTTTCCCAAAATATCTTTCATTAATTCTTCAGAGCATAAAAGGCTAAGTGAATATTAAATTTATGTGGCTGTTGCATGTCCTCTTTAAAATTTTTTTTTTATGAGCAGAACCATATTTGTGCAGATATGCACAAAAGAAGAGACTAAATTTTAGATGCCATATACAGTAAGGTCAGGCTAGTGGTTCAGATTAACTGTTGTATCCTCACATTCCAAATGTTCCTCTTTTGTTCCCAAAGAAAAGTTAATTTATTCATTTATTCATTCAACAAATATTTATTGGGTGTCTACTATGTATTCATTTAACAGATATTTATTGAGAGCCTACTTAGCTGGCAGTGTTCTGGGCGCGGAAGTTACCACATATGAACGGACAATCCAAGTCTCCAGTCTCATGGAGCTTATACTCTAATGGGGGAGGCGAACAGAAAACAAGCATGTGTCATATTTCATAGAATCTAGGTTGCCACCAACTGTAAGATGCACTGTTATTTTATGTGCTACTAAGAAAGGAAAAAATGGCTGAGATAGAGAGTCTAATAAGAGACTCCCCCATGGAGCTGGGACACCGAAAGCCTGCACCTTGGGTGAAAAGATAATCAAGGAAAGAAATCCCTCCACACAGAAAGGGACAGCAAGGAGATTTGAATGTCTCAACCTTGGCACAGTGTAAGAACAGGAAGAGAAATCTCCCTGAGAATATGAACCACAAGTCTGCAGTCACCAGTTTTTTGTCTAAATTCACTCTACCAGTGTTGTCTAAACAAAACCCTTAAACAGAACTTAGGTTCAAGTTGACCTAGTTGGTAGCACTCCCGAGTACTGGCAGAAGCAATCACAAATCTCCTGGGGAAGCACTTGATGTCAGACCAGGCCTGTGGCAGTTTTAAAACACCACCGATTTTTAATACAGCTCAAATCCCATCTTTCAGTTGTATTAAAATCTGAAAACAAATAGGCATCTTGCAATCAACAAAATATGGTACATAGTATGTAGGCAATAAGGAGCGCAATGAAGAGAAGTGAAGCAGGGTGAGGGTGTAAAGAGTGCTGGGGCCAGGGAGGGTGACCTGTTTTAGATACAGACATCTGGGAAGGTACCCCAAAAGTGATGGCTGAGCAGAGCCCTGAAGGAAGGAAGTCATAAGGTAGCTAGGGGAAGAGGATTCTGAGTAGAGGTGACAGCAGGTACAAAAACCCTCAAGTGGAGAGTGCTTGAGGTGTTTGAGGAGTCTCAGCATTCAAGAGGCCACTGTGACAAGAGTGGAATAGGCAAGGTGAGATGAGGTCATTCTAGGAGATGGGGTCGGAGCGCAAAGGGCCTTATGGTTCCATATGACAGGCTTGGCTGTGGATGCTGTGCAAACAGAGGGAGTAAGACCCAGTCCTTGCCATCAAGCTCACCTTCTAATAGAGGAGACAGATAATAATAAATTGTGTCAAGAACAAAAATGGACCGTAATTTCTGTGTTTACGAGGATATGGGGGGCCAGCCCTGTGGGATAATGGTTAATTTCAGTGCAGTCCACTTCAGGGGCCCGGATTTGCAGGTTCAGATCCTGGGCGCAGACCTACACCATTTGTCAGCCATGCTGTCGCGGCAACCCACATATAAAGTGGAGGAAGACTGGCACCGATGTTAATTCAGGGCTAATCTTCCTCAAGCAAAAAAAGAGGAAGACTGATGACAGATGTTAGCTCAGAGCTAATCTTCCTCAGCAAAAAACAGAAAAAAGAATAAGAAAACAAGGATAAATAGGCTCATAGCCTAGACCAATTTACAATTTATACAGGATTACCCAAGCAAACCCATAAAAATCCAACAGTATCCCACAGCTCTAACTTTCATAGTAACTACCTCTTGTTTGTTCTGAGGTGGGTTGGAGTGACTTGGATATTCCAAAAGTTGGCTCTGTTTTATCTGAAGAAGAGGTAGTTTATAAAGTAGGATTGAGAAACAAAGAAACTAATGAACACCAAAATAAGCCCTCTTTTTCCCCCTGTGGTTTATAGTACTGTTTTCCAGTGATTTACTCAGCTTTTCTGAGGAAACCGTGCCCTAAAGCAGTGGTTCTTAACCCTTTACACTCTCGAAAATTATTGAGGACCCCAAAGAATTTTTGTTTATGTGGGTTCTATCTATCAATGTTTACTATGTTAGAAATTAAAACTGAAAAATCAGAAAATAGTTATTGATTCATTTAAAAATAACAATAATGAACTCATTACATTAATATAAATAGCATATTTTTAATGGAAAACAACTATTTTCCAAAGCAAAAATAATTTAGTGAGAAGAGAGATGTTGTAAATCTCTTTAATGTCTGGCTTAACAGAAGACAGCTGGATTCTCAGATCTGCTTTGTGTGTTCATTCTGTTGTGATATCCTGTGTCGCGTAGTCTCTGGAAAACTCCACAGTATAGTCTTGAGAAGATGAAAAGGAAAAAAAGGCAAATCATATTTTAGAGTTTTTTTGGGAAAGTTTTGACTTCACAGCCTTCCCTGAAAGAGTCTTCAGGACCTCAGGGGTCCCTGGACTGTACTTTGATAACTGCTGCTTTAAAAAATCTGTGCCACCTTTTGTTGGCAACAGTTTTCCGAGAGGCCTGGGGTATTGTGCGACAGCCCTGGCACTTGACTCCCTTCTAGTCTCTCTGGGAGCCAGGAGAAATGGAAGAGGGCATAAATTATTTCCTTGCTTCTTTAAAACTAACTATTCAAATAGTTGTCTTTTAAGTGATTGGAATGGTAGATTAATGTGCTTAAAAAAGAAAAGAAAGTGATTACCTTTTTTTCTTACCCAGTGCCCTGGGAATGGTGTGCTATCAGCGATAGGGGGTGAAATGGCACCGCTGGGAGACTTTGCTCTGGGCTAATCAGTTCGCACTTCCTTTATTTTGGTGATCAATTTCTGCCTTAGGCCTCCTTCCTTTGCTTCTAACCAGTGGCTTTAGATGCAGAACAGAACTGGGATTCTAACTTTCCTTTTTTGAAATTCTGTGTAGAGCAAATGGCATGGGTCCCAGAATGAGGAATGAAACCAGACCTGCAGTCCATCTTATGACGGAGTTGTGTGTTTCCCATGGTTCTTGGAGCCTGGGACCTGGCTTTGTTAGTCTCTGGGCCCTCACACACTGTCGTCGCTTTATTGTGGGCCAGTTCAGCCCTGGGCAGAGATCAGCTAAAGTGCCAGTAGATCTAACTAGCAGAGGAAAACAGAGGTTGTGGGGGGTGTCTTTTGAAGGTTGCTTTATTTCTGAGTTTCTCCAGGACTGTCGTGCCTTTTAAAAGAGTCCTTTAATTGACATGCTCTATTCCTCTGAGAGGCCACAGATGGTATCTCCAGGGAGTGAGGATGCCGCTGAAGATCTGCGGAAAGCAGCCAGTGCCTTGGAGGCTCAGGCCCTGGTGGAACAGGAAGTGCTGCCTACAGACCAGGCCCAGGTCCTCAACAAGGTAAGGAGCACGTTCTCGCTCTCTCTTTGAAAAGGAGTTTGTGGCATCAGAACTTAGAGACGTACGGACGGGTTGGAAGTGAAAGCACTGTGAGGGTGGCTCGCAGAATTCTTTTTGCTCTTTAGGGGCCTCTCATTTTTGATTATTTGAAGAATGATGATGTATATCTCCCACAGAGCCCGTCACTGTACTAGCAGCCAGTAGGCACCTATTCAGAAAATGAAGTGTTAGAATGAGTGTTTACGTGTTGTCTAAAATCCTCTTGTTGTGAGAAGCTTTAAACCATTGGACTGTGTTTTAGCCTCACTTTTCTTGTGGTAGATCTACTCAGTATTTATGGTAAAGATGCCATGGAAAGGGTACAGATTGCAGTGTTCTCCTTGCCATGGAGGAATGGCCTGTTTGTATCCTTATTAACATATGTGTTATAATAACAAATGGTATTAGTGTCACTAAAGACAACACCAAGCATTGTAATTACATTTGTATAATACTTTATAGTTTACAAAGCATTTTTATCCACAGTACTTCATTTACTCCTGAGAACAGCCCTGTGAGATAGCTCCCAGTATGTCTCCATTTTACAAATGAGGAAACTGAGGCCAAGAGCTGTTAGTGACTTTGCTAAGGCTATGCAGCTAATAAGGTGCAAACTAAATTCTTTGTTAGCCTTCTGGAGAAGGAAAGACTCGTTCAAGCAAGTTAGCCAAAGTCTGATTCACCTCATTTAGCAATGGAGATAAGAACTGAAGGACTTATTCTCCAGAAATAGATGATTATGAGAGTGTAGTCTGGGAAGATTACAAAATTTATTTATTATGTCTTGTAAGTATAATTATGGTCTCTTAACTGGACTGCTGTCTCACTGATGTGCTCTCCCATGTTGGCAGTAGGTGTGCATTTCTTCTTCAATTGCCTGCTCCTGAGAAGGAGCGGGACATTAAGGCACAATGGCATGAAGTAGGAGCAGTAATCTGAGTGATTTGAAGTGAAACCCACTAGGGAGAGCTTGCAGGCTCCTGCCATGGGTTAGCAAGGGCTTTGAGCATCAAGTGACATTTGTACTCTTGCATACAGGTTAGATGTCTGGCAGCAAATATACTCCTTAAATGCAAATCCCGGGGCTGATCTAAGGGGAAATTGTAATTATTTTTAGAACAATGTTAGTGGATGGGACAACCTATAGGATAAGCCCTGGAAGGTGTGCCATGTGTGAGACGGAGGGGACAGAGAATGTAAACCGGTATATATATATGAACCAGTATTCTCTCTCTGCAGTGCTTGGTGAGTTGATTGACAGTGATCTGGAAGTGACCTTTGAACGGGAATTGTAGCAGAGGATGTATGGCAGAGTGGGAGTTGAGCTAACCCCGGGGGCAAGTGCTGTCATGAGAGGAGCTGCAGGGAGATACTGTGCAGGCTGAGGCGAGACCAAGGCATGGCCTGGAAGTGCTGCTGATGCAGAAGTCAGCAGCAAGCCTTGAGGATGTTTGCAGATGAGGCTTTTATAAAGGGTCTGGAGTGGGAAAGTTGGAAAAGGTAGGAGAGAACACGAAAGAATCTTTAAACTAGGTAACATTTTGGTGGCATTAAAAAAAATTAGTAGAATTTATTGGTAACCTGTACCTGGAGGAAAGAGAAGGAATGTGGACAAGCACATTAGGCTTTGGGTTTGGAGAGTGGAGGTAATAGGGCAGGGTTGGGTAGCCTTCATTTGGAAAGAGGCTAATTGGAATCTGCCACTCTAGTATGTCCTTTAACCAGAATTCTGTTGTGCAGATGGCCAAGTATCAAGTTCCACAAAGGTCTGGGGACATCGTTATGATCCAGTCTGAGCACACGGGAGCTATAGATATTCTTTCAGCTGATTTGGAATCTGCAGATCTTCTGGGGGACCACAGGAAAGGTGAGATCTTTGGGAGCATAGAAAATGTTTCTTTTGTTTCCAGTGGGTACTTAAAGAAAGGCAGGCAGGCAGGTAGAAGGAAAGAAAGAAAGCGACTTGTGAAAGGAAGTCAAAGAAGCCAGTAGAAAGAATGTCTTTGACTGTGACGCCCTCCTGAAGCAAAATGCCAGGTGTGGCGGCATTTCCGCTTGTTTCTCATCAGTAAGCTGCCTGTCCTTTCAGTCTCCCCACCTCTGATGGCTCCTCCGTGCATCTGGACCTTTGCCAAGATGAAGGAATTCAAAAGCAAGCTGGGCAAAGAGAAGAACAGCCGTCTGGTGGTGAAGCGGGGTGAGGTGGTGACCATCCGGGTTCCTACCCATCCAGAGGGGAAGCGTGTCTGCTGGGAGTTTGCGACCGATGACTATGACATTGGCTTTGGAGTTTATTTTGACTGGACCCCTGTAACCAGCACTGACATAACTGTGCAGGTCAGTGATTCCAGTGAGGATGAGGATGAAGATGAGGAAGAGGAGGAGGAGATTGAAGGTAAATTTAATTTTAACATAATTTGCAGTTTCCTTTTCTGGCTCAACCTAGTTTCTGGTGACCACTTCCTGTGTTGTACTAGTCCTCTTCCTTAGAATGCAGGTGGGGAATCCCTTTCAGCCCTGAAGCTGAGATGAGTGATGCAGGCCAAAGTCAGACCCTCAAAGAACATTCTGGTAGGGTTGGTATCGATTCTTTTCCTTTTATTCAGTACCTGCTGTTTCCCCAACATCTCCCTGGGGACAGGGTTGGGCCGAGGGCAGGGAGAGGGGTGGGTCAGTGCTGCTGTATGAGAGGCAGGGTTTTTCAGATCACGTGTAAACCTGAGATGATTTTACATTTCTCTCTTAGTTTTGAGATATTTACATTTATTCTTGGCCTGGAAGCAAACTGGCTGATTACAGTTTGCTAAATGGATGCATTCTCTTTCCCCTCCGAGCTGTCACAGCTGGCTGACTACTGTGACCTCTTTATTTCATGCCTAGAGCAGTTTCGAAAGTAGTTTCTGTGCTCTGGGCCAGTTGTTACTTTCAGTGCCTGCTCAGGATGGCCCAGGGACATGTTTTTTTCTGTAACATAAGAATAGATTCTGGGGCTGGCCCTGTGGCTGAGTGGTTAAGTTAGCACGCTCTGCTTCAGTGGCCTGGGGTTTTGCTGGTTCAGATCGTGGGCGTGGACATGGCACTGCTCATCAAGCCATGCTGAGGCGGCGTCCCACATAGCACAGCCGGAAGGACCTACAACTAAAAGATACAACTATGTACTGGGGGGCTTTGGGGAGAAGAAGGAAAAAAAAAGGAGATTGGCAACAGATGTTAGCTCAGGTGCCAATCTTTAAAAAAAAAAAAAAGAGTAGGTTCTAAGCACTGGCTTTATTCTTTGGTTTTCCTATATAATCTTAAAATCAATCCCTTAACTTGCTTCCACATGAAAAAGCAGGTCTGCAGGGAAATCTTAAGGTATTTAGGGAGGAGAACCTCAGATCTTATTTGCTGCTCTTCAGGAGGTCAAGTGAAAGTTCTAGGTCACTCTGTGCAGCATGTCTCCATTTCCTGCCTCCATTAGCTGGTTCTTTCCGCCGTTGAATGAAAGGATGTCAGAATCGTACTTTCTCAATATCTTTTTCTCCTTGGAAATGTTGATACTTCTGGAGCTGGCGAGGCTCTGTAAGTTGAAGTCCTTGTCTCTCAGTGGAGACGTCATTGGCATTTGGGGTGCCATGCTTCTTTGTTGAGCAGGTACTATCCAGGTGTTTAGCAGTCCTGGACCCTTGGGCACCAAATGCCAATATCACCCATTAGTCACTGTGATGGCCAAAAAGGCCACCAGCCATTTCCAATTCCTGTAGGAGGGCAATAGCATCCCTCCTTGGCGAAAGCCGCTAGGTCACCTGGTTCATCCTCTGACCTTCCTGTAGGACTTATTCAGTCTCTCAACTCATATTGAGACATTCTGCCATTTTGCTCATGCAGACCCTGTCCCAGTTGGAGATGTGGAGAGAGGCTCCAGGAGCTCCCTGCGAGGTCGCTATGGGGAAGTCATGCCTGTGTACCGGCGGGACAGCCACCGAGACGTGCAGGCTGGCAGCCACGACTACCCCGGTGAGGGCATCTACCTGCTCAAGTTTGACAACTCCTACTCCCTGCTGCGCAACAAGACTCTCTACTTCCACATCTACTACACGAGCTGAAGGCTGGCTGGGACGGGAGGCAGGTGGGCGTTGTGGGCTCGAGCAGGCTGCCAGCTGGGGCCTCTTGTTTTGGATAGGCGAGAGCTAAAAGTTAAGTGTGAGGCTCCTGACCCTCACGCCCTGCCTGGCATGCCTGACTGTCGCCCCCATGTAGCTTTTCCCCCTTCTTGGCTTCTACAGGCGGTGGTGTAGTACCCCTGTTCTGTGCTCCCTCACTCATGCTCTTCTTGCTTCAGACTCCAGCAAAATCCCTCTCCGAAGGAACCCATAAGGCAAGAGCCTAAAAGGAAGTCGAGTGTTGTCTTTTAAAAATGTTTGTTTTGGTACAAGGTGTATTATTCGAATGGCTGCTCCCTCCTCCCCCGGTGCCTTTATTGCAGACGCGTTTAGTGGCGCCCACTCTCTTCGCTTTTCAGAAGTGCTAGAAGAGGGAAAAGCACATTGTCCATGAAGGAACCCAGTCTCTTGGACGGAGGCAGCTCTGTCCAGTCTCTCACCACTGCCATATTCCCGCCTGCCGGTTCTTCGTGGTCTCTAGCACAGGCTGGGAGCCCTCACTGCCTTTGGAGGGGTGTTATCAGTCCCGATGGTTCGACTCTGCCTCTTTGCCTCCTCTCCTCCCCTTCCTAAGTCTGTCTTTGCCATTACAGCAAGAACTTCTGTGCAAGCTAAAGTGATGATCCATGTGGTCTAAGATCTTCTGGGAAGAAAAACTGCCTCCATCACTTCCTGCTTCAAGAGCTAGTGTCCCTGACCAGGACACTGGTGGTTGACGGGGAAAGGGTGGAAATTAGGTGCTGGCTTGATCTCAGAACTCACATCTTTGAAAGTCCAGTGTTACAAAATTGTTTTTTTGTATAATCAAAGAGATGGAAGGTTTAAAAAAAACCCCCAAAACAACACTCTAGATTCCCCACCACTTTTTTTTGTCTTTAGAGTTAGAGGGTTATTTAGAAATTTGCTTTGGAACCAATTAGACTTCCACAGCTTCTGGATTTGGGTTTCTTGCATCGAGGGCGTAAAGCTTCAGGGGTGCAGAGTCTCTTCGGAAAGGTGATAATGAAGCGGCACTGTTGCTGCTGGTTGGATTTCTTCTTTGCCAGGCCAAAGCTTGCATTTCCCTGGTGATGGCCTTTCCCACTCCATTCACCCTGAAGCCCAGAGGGCCACAGGGTGCTGCAGCCAGTGGTCACCAGAGCCGCAGGGTCGGGGGTCTCAGGCAGATGGGGAGGCAGAGAAGGGACCACTGTGGTTGTCTGTACCTCCTTGTTTCTTATTCCCTGTGTCAAGTCTGTTACTGCCGTAGAATTTTGAGGAATAATTAGATTTATTTATTACTTTATTTATTTTTTTAGCACATTTCATTTTGCCTTTGGAACACTTTCCATCTGTTTCTCGGAAGGCTTCCATCTGCTCTGAGCCATTGAGACCACCTCTTCTGTGGAGTTAAACATGATGATTTTAGGCGAAGCTGGGAAGTGATCATGTTCCATTCCCGCAGGTCAGTCCTGTGATGCTTTGGGAGAGTCTGCCCCTTCTGAGATGGATCGTGCCAAACTACCCCTGCATTCCCCATGAGGAATTCTAGGTTGTGAGGAAAGCCGCCCATTCTCCCAGGATTGAGTGGGGAGGAACTGACTAGCCCATCAGAGATATCCTGTGATTCCAGGATTTCAAAGTCCTTTGCCTACTCTGAGGTGTTACCTTCTTCACGAGGTTTCCTTTGTCTCATTCCTCCCTCGTGTGGGTGCCTCACACCAAGGCTTTCCTCCCTCTATGAGTAGGAACTCACAGAGCAGGGCTCCTCCAGTAGGTCTGCAGTAGCATCTCTGTCACGAACAAAGGGCAATATGGCCTGCACCTTCCGTTCCCCTGGGTGCAAAGCCTCAAGTAGGATAGGATGTTGTGGATGGCCATAGCATCCCCCTGCTCTGAGCAGCATCGTACATCCATTGTTTTATATTTGAGTGCATTTTATAGAGGATTACACTGGCCAAAATTTATATACCTTGGAAAAAATTAGAAATTATTTTAGCGATTGTCTATTTGGGCGGTAAAAAGCAAACTTGTGTGTCATCCCGTCAGATAGCTGAGTGACCACTCTTTCACCACTGAAGTTGAATCCTGCCTTAGCTAATTGAATGAATCTTTATAAAAGAATTTTCTACTGAGCTGTTCTCCAGTTAGCTAAAGCCTTGCTTAATTTTTCTGTTTATTAACTTCTGACTTTCTCTTAAAAAGAGCTCACAGGCCACAGCAAGCTCCGTGGGATAACACTTATTGTTTATTTTTGCCATGAGATTCTCTGTACTTATTTTCTTTGGAATCTTAGTTCTGTTGCATCAGGGAAGCCTGAGGGACTTGGTCCCATGGCCTCTGTGTGCCCCTTATTGTCTGGTCACTTTTGAAGTCTTGGACATTGTTACATTTCATTCTGTACTGGTGTTCACTAACAATCAGGGTTTCTTTGTTCAATTAGCACAAAATAGCTAAGATATTTTCACCGTCTAATTCATTCGCTATTCTCATAATAAATTTCTATAATTACTGAACTTTAGGGATAAACTATTATTTACTGAAGCACAAGTAATAATATACTGAGAATATCACAGCCCAGCAGATCCTAAGAGGTAGTCATTTCCTTAGTCTCTCCCAGTCCAAGTTTATAGAGCCAGATAGCAAGATGAAAATCACTTGCTTTCACCCCACCCTGTTCTCTAGAGCACAAATAAACATGAACGTACAATCGAAAGAAAGCGCATCATAGTGGGAGAGAGACTAGAGTTCTCTACACAGAGTGGCTGAGCTCTTAAATTCCTTCAATTTCTTTAGTTTTGCTACTTTTTGCTGGAGATGGGGCTTTTAGAAAGGAAGACATGTTTAAAGTGTTAATTTTTTTCCAACATTTTATTATGAAAAATTTTCAGCAAACAGTAGAAGTCTATAGTAAACACCCTTAGGTATACCTAGCACATCGATTTTATAATGCTAAACTGCTAATTTTTAAACAAAGATGATTCCACAATTCTCTTGCCTTTCACAGGGGGCAAATTAGCATATGTTCTGTGCACAGACATCAGGTGTCCTGTGTCAGAGAGCCCCTGGGTTTTAGCAGACTTGTTTCATTCAATGTGTATTATCTGGGAGGTGGTCCTCATAGAAAGGTTTCTTGGTCTCCATCTTTCAAAACTCATGCTGTGTTTCCTCCCGCCTCAGGCCATAATTTTTGCTGTTTTCTTCTTTAACTGGCATGTCAGCGTGAGGGTAATTGTGAAGCTGCTCTGGAAGGACTACAATCTCTGTTGCTTTATGACACACCCTCAGGACTCTGAAATTAAAACTCAATCCTCAGACAATATGTAGCTTTATAATAGAAGTAGGTAGCAACTTGAAATTAGGCCATTCTTAGTTATTCTTTTCTTCATTGATTCATGCACTTTAAAAGTATTTTTATCTGTTATTTAGTAAAGAAAATCTCAGACTTTTAAAAAGTATATATTGTCCCTTATAATATGTATGGAAGAGTTAAATCTGAAAGCTCTCTGTATTGTATTAATCACTGGGATTGAATATTATTGTAAAACTTATCATTTATAGAAAGATCTGAGTCTGTATGTCTTTTTTTCTTTTTTGCTGAGGAGGATTTTCCCTGAGCTAACATCTGTTGCCAGTCTTCCTCTGTTTTGTATGTGGATCGCTGCCACAGCATGGTTGCCAACGAGTGGTGTAGGTTTGTGCCTAGGAACTGAACCTGGGCCACTGAAGCAGAGTACGCCAAACCTAACCACTAGGCCATGGGACCGGCCCCAAGTTTGTATGTTTTTGATGAGCCCTACTCAGTCCCTCTTTGAAAGAGTTAGGTGAAACCCAAACCTACAGTCTGTATTTTGATATTTATTTTTTAAGACCACTTTTTTGCAAAAGGTTGCCTTTTACCCCCAGAGTGTATGGGTCTAAGGTACAGAGTTGCGTGACCCTAATATTTACATAAAAGACAATTGTTTTAGAGGAAGGGGCATGAGTGAAACATGAGAACATGAAGCTTGAGAACTGCCTTTTTAAATTGATAGTAAGGAATGAAAACAGAATAAAATGAGGGGAAGAGAGAAAAGCTATCAAATGTATCCTGGAATTTTTCTCATATCCTGATTTCGTTTAGTTATTTCATTTGCATTTCATTAGTTGGAATTGTTCTTTAAGCCAGAAGCCTCACTGGTTCTCATTGTGCTTGTCTGAGAAACCCCAAACCCACTTTGCTGTCTTTTCCAACAGGGTCGACTTTAGGGGTATTTTTGAGTAGGTCTCCTCTGCTAAGTGTAATCCTGACCTGAGCATTGATTTCATCTCTATATTCTCTGGAATTTACAAGTCTGGTGCCAAGAAAAAAGATGGTGAGATCAGAAAGAGGCTGGGAGGAGTTCCAGTTGTGTCACTGTAGCCTTGGTTGGTTATGACTATGGCCAGGAAAGGGATGAAATAGGTTAATTTTGACCAACATCACAGAAGAGCCTCAAGCCACAAGAGTATGTTTGTGAACAAGCTGTGCTCCCTGTAGGCCGACCTCCCTGTGGGGTGTAGGAATCACCATCTTCTTTAATCTGTGTGGGATGGTCATACACACAGCAGGAAATGGAAGCAAATGACACAGCGTGTTCTCTCTTTTAGAGCTTCCATTTAGAATTTCTCCTGGGTCTAAAAGGTCCACATCAGCCTCTTTAACTAGTCTCTTTCCACTTGGCCAAAAGTGTCGAACTCCTAGAAACCTGAATCTGCTAGAAAAGGGAAGAGCACCATCCCAATATAATCTCAGTGATTGAAAAGAGTTAGAAAGTGAGTTTCTGTCTGAAAAAAAGGTCATTTCTTTTTTGTTGTTGTCGTTGCAAGGGGTAACTTGTTAAGGGATGTATTAACAAGAGAGCAAGTCATTGTGTGTAGGGAATGGGTGCCTAAAACCAATCACAAGCTGGGTGCTTTCCATCACCCCAGTATATCGCAAGTATCCATATGGCCAAAGTCCCAGTCTTCACCTACTTGGGATCCTATCCACACAGCTGAGAGATGGACTAGGCTCCCTCATTTCTCTGATGTCTTAATTGTGGTATTGTTTAGCACTGGCAGCATGGTCTCCAGGGCCTCTGGTTACCTGATTAACCAGAATTAAATAATAGTGTGAGTTGAGTAGATAAGGCAATCAACCTTGGTTGGAAGTAGAGCAGGGCAGGGATTATGATTTACAGTTTCATGTTGGGATAGCTGAGTGACTCGTGTATTACCGTGCAATTGGAACTCTTGGTAACCTTACCAAATGAGTGAAGAGGATGTGACAGTGCTGTATGGATGAGGACAACAAATTAATTGAGTTGAGTAATAAACAGAGCAAGCTGTCCATCTCTGGGCACTATAGTCTGTCACTGGCTGTAAGTGCAGTTTCATTGTGAGTTTGCAGCTCCTTAGCGTTCTCTGGAGAACCCCCCAAGAGCTGGTTTCTGGTGGCCTCTTTTCGGGGAATGGGGGGAGGCACCCGGGCGGGAACTGCTTTGGCTCAGTTGGTGCCCGGTGATGGTCAGTGGCACCCCTTTGCTTTGTCTAACCTGTCCAGCACCTGTGGGCGCTCCTTTAACATTGATCCAGTTATTTAGATTATGAGGTTGGGCAGGATTTGGGACCTAAAGTGTGAGAAAAACTTTGCTAAGTGTTGTGTCGCCGGATTTGAGAAATCACTTCTCCATCTGAAGTGTTGCATTGTCCCTGTCTGAACCACGAAGGCCACATACACCCCTCCTGTTTAAATCTCTTGTCGCTAAGCTAGGAAAACCCAATTGCCTAAAGCCCCCATAGTGGGGTTCATTCACAAATAGTCATTTTCTCAAAAACTAAGTCCAAAGGCAAGGCGCTGGCTTTGAAAGTATTTGTGGTTCTGGTCACTGGTTTGAACTCATGATCAGATTTCTAGTATATGTGCTTTGATTTCTTTCAGTCCCCAAGCGTGTTGACTAGAGTTAATTTCATGGCTTTTCTTCAATCTAAGAGATGAAGAAAAGGTGCCCCAGAAATCTAGAGAGACAGTCTTCTTTATTAAATTCCAGTTTTCTGTCACTTTAAGCAGGTGGTTTTGGCTTATGTAGGGGTAAAATAATATATGTGAAATGACTTCTGGGGGACAAAGTACATTTGCTGAAAGTTCTGATATAGGGTCATGATTAATCCTAAAGTTTTAGTTTGAAGTATTCTAGTATATGGGATTACAGAAGAGCCCTTAACTTACAGTCAGTTTAAGGAGCTCTCTTCCTGAATTCTCTTCCTCACTCAGGTTTGAAATACCTCTGTGTAAAAATGTTCCTTGTTATTGGTTGTTGTTGTTGGTGTTTAGGTTCAGGCCAAGAATCATCTGGAAAACATTATCTTCATTCCTTCTCTTATGTCCTAAGCAGTACATTTTACTAAGAAATTCCATATTAAATACTCTAGTAAGATCCCTTTCTGAGATTATTGTCCCATAAATGAATTTGTTTTCATTTAATAAGTTGAATTATTTCCATTTAGCCATATTCAAGAGCAGATAAAGTCTGGAGAAAGCAATTTTGTGACCCATGACTCTGGTGTACCCATTTTCCCTTAATAATGGGAAGTGTTTTGAAATTCCCAGAAGAAAGCTGCTTTGTAATCAAAGCAATGGATTATAAGAAAGCCAGACTTTTGGATAATTGGAATAGAGGGAGGTGCTTGAAGATTCCCTAAACTACTTTATGCCATTTACTTACATTTCTGAAAGGCCTGCTTTGGTGCCATGCACTGAGATCTATCAGTTGACTGAAAGATAATCATGTTTTCTTGGTAAATGTTTAAACAACTGACAACCACAAAGGCCTTTCCTTATTGGTCTATATCATGCACTGATGCAGACATTACAAAAATGGGTCCAGAAGGGAATATCACAGTCTTTTCTTTAAAATACAAAAGTATCCCAGCCAATCATTTATTACAGTCAACTTGTTTTACATGTCCCCCATCATGAGAAATGCTGTCAACATCTCCTATGATTTCTAAGTTGAGAGCTCTGTACCAAATGTTATTTAATCCTTATGTCCTGCTGAGTGGTTTTGCCTTTAAAATATATTTTACCACCCTGTGGCACTGAATGTGTTGCTGTGATACACAGATAATCCTGAGCTATGGTTCTTTAAATAGTTCTGTTCTTGTGTTTTTATATTATGTAACAGTTTTGTGATGCTTTTGTGCATTCTTTGTCTTCTCTTCCGAGTTTTGAAATCTATCATAAATAAACTTTTTCACTATGCACCTGAAACATTTGAATTGTATCTTAATGAACCTGGTTTACATTAAAAATTTTTTATTCATCTCTCCTCTGCATCTTAGGAGGAAAGGTATTCTATAAATCTATGTGAATTATTTTATAATCTATTAAGATTATAAAAATTAACAATTAAGAAAAAATTTGGAATAAGATTAATGATAGATCTTTCATGTGCATTTAAATTTATGGCAGAGTATTATGAACTAGGAGCTGGGTTTGGCCCCAAAGCAAAAAAATTGGGTTTAGAGTGATGATTACTAAATAGAACATTATCGAGTTTTGTCAGTATTTGGTCCCCAGTGATGTTCATTTTCCAATGAACTTACTTACTCTGCTCAAATTTGGTCCCAGTACTTTGGACACCAAGGTAATTATTAAGACAGTCTGGGTGATATTAATTCAGCCTATTTTCATTTACAAAAATGACACCATTAGAGATCTTTGACATCTCTTAAAATACTGCCTCTGTACATCCCTAGAGTCTGTTACGGAATGAGAAGGCCTCACATCTGAGCAGGGAGGGGTGCCGTTTATATTTTCTTTAGCGATATCTGTGGTTCTAAGATGAGCCTAGTAGATTTTTCTCTGCTTTCCTTGGCAACACATTTTAGAGGCTGACGTATAAAGAGGAAAGATTTGAAATAATTGTGAGTTAAATGAATATAATCTGCCTACTAAACTGTACCACAACCAGCAGTAAAAAGCCCAGGCAGGCTCCATGTAGCTAGGGATCTATAATGAGTTACATTTGGGTATGCTGAAGGTAGTATGTCACTGCTAACACACAGCATACTGAAGATGATTTAACTTGTGAAAGCACTCATATGTGTCTTGTCATTGACCCTGACATAGTTCAGGATGATATAGAGCAGCCCAGACTCTGCAGCTCTTGCTATTCAGCCTGATGCTCTTCACTCATGTAGTTCTGGCTGAAACTCAGCAGCCATCTTAGTTCAGGGTTTTCTCCCAAAGTAGAGCAATGCCTGCTAGTGATCTTGGAACCAAGAACTAAATAAGTTATGTTTAAAAGTTAGGAGGAGCCAATAAAATGAGTACTTACTTTGTGGACGTGTGTATGCATCTGCTTGTCTAATAAGTTTACTGTCCTTAATGCGTATGTAAAATTGCTTTGGAACAAAATCCTATTATCTATTTTGCTTTTTCTCAACTATTTCTTGGCATCACCTCCTTCCTTCTTTCATCCTTCTGAAGTATTTGCCAAGACTTGGTACTTCCACTGAGTTAGAAGACTCTCCGCATCTAAATCCCAGTATCAGGCCACTCCCACTGTGGGAAGGCCTCACTGTAGCCTCTCGCTTACCAGGATCAGGTGTCTGCTGATTGTTCTTCACAGACCTGACAACTGATGTGGAAATGAAGGACTTGACTTTTACCACTCACTTGGCCTTTAGAGGGAAGCCCCTACTGGAAAATATCCCCTAAGCAGGTGATGGTCTTGGATTGAGAGCTATAACTGGCTCCTGAAAATAAGAATTTTTTTGCAGATGAGAGAGCTGCAGAAGGGGAAGTTTTCAAAACCCTTTAGAGAAGCTTAATTATTGCTAAGCCTTGGAGCCATCTGGCCTGACCTCTAGAGGAAAGTCTATGCACTTGGGGAAATATTTGCTCCTTCATGACTTTCTAGGGCCCCTGAAAGAACAGAGAGACATTCTGGGTGGGGGGAGGTTAGCCAGCCAAGGTTGTACAGGAAGGATATCTTTCAATTTAACATGCACTTGTGGAGCAAGGCTAGTCACCTCGCTTGGTACTGGGATAACAGTGGGTCGGGAGTGCAGCCCTACAGGAGCTTGAGGGAACTCTGCTCTCATGAAAGGGAAATGCTGCATTCTCTTACTCTCTAGGGCACAACTAGGTTCCTCTGGGAATAGAGAAGAGGGTTCTCCTCTCTCCCTTGTAGCCAGTCCCAGGGCTCTGGAGGATGGTTCCCTATGGGGAGGAGCTGAAGCCGGCAAAATCTCAGGTCTCCACGTTCCTGAACAGCAGGGCAGCTCCCCATGTTGATCAGGACTCCAGGGAGGTCGCAGGGCTAGAAACACGATAGCCTCACTCTGACTCAGAACTGCAGGCCCACAAACCAGACATGCTGCTCTCTCGTCAGCTGTGGTCATTCAGTGAGGCCCCAACCACTACTCATCCCATTGTCCCCTCCTCCCCCATGCACTCCTTTTCCATCCCTCAGTTGATCATGAGCTGGTGGCTCCCCTGGGCCTGCCTTCTCTCTGCAGCTCTCCCATTTCCGTCTCCCCGGTTCCCCTCACTTCCTCCCAGCCTCAGTCCCTGAAGCTCACAAGGAGATACCAGGAAAGTTGTTGCAGGCCCTTGAGAGCAGAGGTGGTTCTGGGTTGGTTCTCTCCTTGGTTCTAAGTGAGGAAGGTGGCAAAGATGGTCCCCAGCCCTGGCTTTGAGATGAGCGTCTGTTGCTGTGGACTTTGGAGAGCTCCCATGGCTTAGGTTCTAGCTTTAAAATACAATAATCTCCTTCACAAAAACATCATGAGACCAGATGGACTGTTGACCTCCTAAAGCCAGTGCAGCTGAGAACCACAAAGGTTTAGTCAGTTTCTTCCCCTGGGTGGTGCAGGTAATCAGTGTGGGGAAAGTGCAAGAACCCAGCACTTTCCAGGTGAGACACCTCAGAGGAGCCTGGAGGGTTTCTTTGGCTTAGACACACTTCTCTTATCGTGGGGAAGGACAAGTTTGTCTGCGTTTGGGGAAAACCAGATGAGAAAGGAGGACCTCAGAAATGTCACCGACTCCAAGGATCTCTGCTGAACACAGGAAAAGCCAGAGCATTTGTTCTCTACCCTTCCCATACACCCAGGGTTGATTTTCATGTTTCATTTGACATAGAAAACTCCTGTTTAACCAAAGGACCTGAACTATGAGAACTATGAGAACTATGGGGAAAATATGTAAAATGAGTTTTGTGCATTCAATGAGGGATGGTTTCTAAATGTTTAATGACAGAGGCTGTATCCTCTTTAACTGATTTTGATTTCCTTAAAATCCATTAAGCTTTTGCCAGGAGTTTTAGGCTGGCTGATGGAGCCCCAGGTTAAACAGGTTAATATTTTGCTACTGCTTAGGAGCAGACCTGAGTTGAAGTATGTCAACTCTGAGAAGTCATCTTGGCTCAGCCAGAGAGATAGGCAACAGACTTATTGAGTGGTAGAATTAGAGCTGGCCATTAAATTTTCAGGAGTAAGTGGAGGGACATACACTCAGTAAGAGCAGGAGTCATGTGTGCCATATTCCCCATCACACAGCCACACAGCCACAGAGCCCAGCTCCCAGCCCGTGGGAGTCCCCTGGGAGGGCTCACTGCATGCTGGGGGCCTGAAGGGAGGGAAGTGGTAAGTCCATTACTAGCTGGAGTAGGAGAGCCACCAGATTTTCTTCTTCCGGGAAAAGTCACACTTCAGCCCCTCATTATACCTAGTTCTCTCTAGAATTATTCAGGGCAGGGGGGAGTGGTCTCAGGTTGTCTCTGTTTCTGTACTTTGTCCTAGTTGTGGATTCTTTCTAGTTCTCTCACTTCCCAGAAGTCTCTTGGGCTTCTTTCTCTGTTGCCTGGAGATGAGACTGGGAAGAGGGAGGGGGCGGGGCGTGGTAACCTCAGCAGTGACGGAAATTATTTCAGATTATTTGCGCTCCCAAAGGCACCTGCTGGTGAGAGGCAGAGCCAGCTGCTTCCTTAATCCCAGGAAAGTGGCAGCAGCAGCACCCCATCTGGCCAAGCCTAGCCTCTGAGGCTGGCCTGCTGCTCTTCGCTGATTCTGCCATCTCTCCAGGGCCAGGGAGGCACATTGCTTGGGAAGTTGGAGCATGGCCTGAGGCGTGGGGCCGCCCTCCTTTCCCCAGAGTTCATTCTGTCTTTAAAATCCACAGGAGCTTTAATCACCTTGTTTCAAATGTCAAAATCAGGTGACAGTTCCTGATCCCCGGGCTGAGCAGATTAGCCTCATCTCAAGTAAAGGCTTCTTGAAGAGAGCCCAGGTGAGGCTTATCTAGCCAGGCAAGTGAGAGAAAGGGTCCAGATGGCAGCAGGGCAGGACAGGAGGTACCAGTGAGTCTCTCTCATCGCTGTCTCATCTACCTTCCTGTGCTTCTGCCTGGGCAAGCTTGCCCTGGGAACAGGAGTGGCCCACTTTGACCATTGTAGAGCCTGGAACCCAGGTCATCTAAGAGAGGAGAGACCACAAAGGAACCCAGGAAGAGAGGGAAGAACTAGGTGCTCTGGGATGGGGCTGAAGAAAAGGGACTCGTGGCTGAGAAAGGCGGCTTCCATTTGAACCAGATACATCTACCTTAACTCCCTGTTTAAACCTCAGCCAGGCAGGGGGAATGAAATCTTACATATGGGACGTAAGGGTCATCTTGTTTCACTCCCAGAAGGGATCCCAATCTCCCTACAGTATTTCTGCCAAGAGGTGATCCTGGTTCTGGGTGAATACTGCCAGGCATGGGAACCCAAGGTAGACTGTTATCTTATTGGTCTCCTGAGTTAGCCTGGTCAGTAGCTGTTCACACTGCTCTCGGAGGAGTCTGCCTCCAGTTTCCAGGACCACTCACAACGGGATTTACCCTAAGTGCCTAATCCTGGGACTGGTCCAGAGAATGTTGCCCCTGAAGATGAAAGACTGGGTTGAGAGCCGACTTCCTTCTCAGTGCTGCAGTGGAACACTTAACAATGGTACCATTCCTAGCCCGGGGAACTTAGCTGGTCACAAAATGCTTTCTTTCCTGCTGCTTCTATCTGTTCTGTTCTGGATCTTGTCTGATCCTCTCAGGCAGGCTTTTGGGCTTATTTCTCTTCTTTGCCCTTATAGGTCCCAGGGGCCAGGCCTACCACAGGGTGGGCAAGTGGCTGGCTGACTTCCTGTCCCGGTCCAGAGACAGGAGGATTCCAGCAAGGAATCTTCCGGAACCCAGCTCAGCTCAGCCTTAACTGAACAGACTTGGCTTTAGTAAATTATCAAATTTCAGTGTGGGCATTCTTTGGAGTCAGATAGAGTAGAGAGGATGGGAAGAGGCGCACAGACTTCCTTATGGCGCTCTGGTGAACTTGTCAGGCATTTTAGTCTATATTCTCGCTTCATCTTCATGATTGCGTGACATAGATAGTAGGTAATGTTCCTGCCTACCTCTCTCCCAGCATCCTCCCACCACACCATGCCTGCATTTGACAGATGAAGGGACTGAGGCAGAAAGAGGTTCAGTAAGAAGGCAGATCCAGGGCTAGAGTTCAAGTTCAAGGGCTAGGAGTTAAAGTCTCCTGCCTTTCCAGTTAGGGCTCATTCATTTCCAGGCCTGTTCAGCCCAGCCAACTTCTGCTCCTGCACCCCCTCCCTGTTCCTGCACCAGTGGGGCACGGTTTGAGGCTAGGCTCTCAGCTCAGGGGGTGTATCCGGCTGCCGGCAGGGGTGAGACACTTGGAAGGCCTCCAAGGCTAGCAGCGACTTGTTGATGCGGCTGATGGTAGGGTAGGGAGTGAGATCCACCTTGAACCTATGGCAGAGAAACACCCATGTAAGCCAAGGTCTGCAGGGGCACAGGGAGAGTGCCCTGTGGGTGGCGAGGCAAGCACAGGGGCAGGGCTGGATGAGGTCCCAGCCCTGCCAGGCGGGGTAGCCTTCTTCACAGGCAGCTCTCTGGGGTTGGGTAGGTCTTGTGCAGTATCATCTGGCATCTCTGTTACCTCCTGTTCCCATTCCAAGCAATGGCTATTTAATGACAACCTGCTACATATATGGCATACTGCTAGGCGTTTATATATACAGATTATTTCTCCACTATGTCATAAGCTTCCCAGGGACAGGGAATGTGTCATACATTTCCATATGCCTAATGGTGCCTGGTGCGATGCCTTCCACAGAGAGGTTCTCATTCATGTCTTACTGAAGGGCTGATGGAGGAAAGCAGAGGTAGAGCTCACTGTGGGGCAGACATACTGCATCTGGGGACAGCAGGCTTTTGGGGTGGTTTTTTCTAGGGGTAACCACCAGGTGAGCTGCCTCCTCCTAGGAGAAAGGGCTATGCGGGATCACCTGAGCTGTGCTGGGCATGGTAGGGGGCATTCCACTGATTTCTGCTCTGTCTCTTCCAGGTCAAAGTGGCCGGGGTGGCCTGGCACAGGGGGCTCCTTGGCCACTCGGGGAGAGTCCCTGCATGAGATGCTACCTCAATAGTGGAAGTCGGGGCCTGACTTGGGAGGAGGCTGGGCATTTTGAGGGGAGGAGCCAAGAGGAAGAGGGAGGGTGGTGGGGTCCTCTCTTACCTTTCAGCATTTGCCACCTGAGGCACTAAGCACAGATCAGCCATGGACACCTGAAAGAGGGTTGGGTGGATCTGCATCATGGTGTGCACTCGACTCAGACTGGGCTAGGTGTGTCCACTGGTCACAGTACTGGGGTGCCAGCCCCTGACATTCCCATATGCTTCTGGCTCTTCCATCCCATCCACGTCCCGCCCCCCCACCAACCCCAGCCCAGCCTTGTCTGGGTCTGTCCCGAGAACTGATGCCCTTCTCCCAGACCTGGCTCATTGCCTGGACAACCATCTCTGGGTAGCCAGCGAGAGTTCAATAGTGCTTGTTAAAAACTGCTATCACAGGCCCTTAGTGAGGGCTCCCAGAAGGGACGAGTGCCTCAGGGTGGGGGGTGGGGGGCCTTGGAACCAGAATTCATATAGGACCAAGGCCTTAGCATATAGGAGTCAAGCATACCTGATGCCTAGAATCTCAGAAATGAGAGGGAACAGAGACATTGTCTAATATAATCCCTTATCTGATGCCTGGACCACCTCTTCATCTCAGAGATGAGGTGTTCAGCTTGAATACTTCCAGGAATGAGAAACTCACTTCCTCATGAGGAGCTCCCCATGAGCTAACTTCTGCTCGGCATAGAGAGGATAACCTTGGGTCTCGGAAGCCCCCACCCCACCTGCAGATGCCTCCTCAGGAAGCTCTCTGAGCAGCGCCTACCCTGGGTTAGAGGGAGATGGCTGAGTCTAAGTGGAAGAGACTGGCAGCCCGAGGTTGGCAGGAGGGCAGAGCTGCCATGGGCAGGCTGGGGGGGCTTACCTCATTTCCCACACAGTACTTCCCCGCTGTGGTCTGCAGGATGTGCTCCAGAGCTGTGGGGAAGCCACAGGAATAATCTTACTCTGGGCACAGAGAAGAAAGATCCGCTTTCCTGGGCCTTACCCTCCATAGTTATGCAATGGGCGGCTATCCAAGTGACTGGCTGGGGCACGTGTGCTGGACGGAATGTGACAGCCAGATCTGAAGAGTTGTAGGGACATGGGGACAAGATGATGTCTCCCTGGGCTCCTCAAGCCCAGCTGCCATCCCCTCCCCCAGAGGGGACAAGACCTGCCACTGGCCAAGGCAGCAGCTCTTACACCGATGGGCTGGCACTTGGCTGGCCTTGGTTTCCTGGCTGGAGTGGGCAGTGAGGCAGACATCAGGCCATCCAGCTCCCAAGGGCTGTGGGCCTCAGGTACTGAGCTCCTGGAAGTGCCAGAGGTTAAGGCCAGGTTCGGATGCCGCCCAGCCCACTGCCTCCTCAGCCCTGTCCCCATTCCCTCATCCATGCCTCTCTCAGGACCAAAGAGCCTGGGAGGCTGTTTCAGACGTCCCAGGCCCTGGACTTGGGGGCCATTTCTCTGAAAGGGTACCCTGGGGCAGCTCGCCGGAGTAAGGACTCACCATTAAAGCCAAAATTGATGGCCTCCTGGGCCCAGGTCAGCTGGTTCTCCTGTCCCACTTCCTTCAGGACAGACAGGTTCTGTGCAGCCCAAGGAAAACCTGTGATTGGCTTTGGGGGGCCAGGCTGAGCCTGCCAGCGCAGCCAAGCCCCTCAGGGGAGCTCAGTTCCGATGTGTCCCTGGCTGTGCACCTGTCCCACCCTGAGCTCTGTGAGCCAGCGTCCTCCTATTAGGGCCCTGAGGTTGGTGATCTCAGGCTGCCCCAGTGGTCCCTGTGGTCTGGAAGCCTGTGACTCTGGCAGAGACGTACAAGGGTCGGGGCACAGGATGCTGCCTTGGCTGTGACGGGTGTGCCACAACTCAAGGCCTATCCCTTGCATCCAAGCCTTCTCCCTTACAAGGTCTCTTGTGGGGAGAGGGAGTGTGATAAAGGACAAGGGGTGGGATGGGGCAGGCACATAGGACTGGCTTTCAAGAGATTTGGACTCTGGTTCATCCTTGCACCCCTGGAGCCATTTCACTTCTGGGCTTCACTTTCCTCATCTGTAAAATGGGGATGTCTGTCTGCTCCAACCTCCTTTGTTGAAAAAGATAAAGTGACATGGGGGTGGGGGGCACAAGTGCACAGTCGGGGTCCTGGGCTCTGGTCCTTGCCCTGCCACTACTTAGCTGGGTGACTCTGCAAAGTCACTCCACCTTTCTGGGGCTATTTCCTTATTTGCAAAATCAGGGGTTAGCAGAGCTGAATTGTTTTATTACTTATTTTTTAAAAAACAAAATCTTGAGCCAGCCCTGATGGTCTAGTGGTTAAAGTTCGGCACTCTCACCACTTTGGCGGCCCGGGTTCGCTTCCTGGTCGTGGAACCACGCCACCTATCTGTCAGCTGCTATGCTGTCGCGGCACCTCACATACAAGAACTAGAACGACTTACAGCTAGGATATACAACCATGCACTGGGGCTTTGGGGAGCAAAAAAATAAAGTAAAATAAAGTCTTGTGAGAATCCAAATCTCTGATACAGAACAGATGAAAGGGAGGCTGCTCTGGCTAAAGGCGGGAGGCCTGGCCCCATGCTGCTCAGCCTCTCCCTGCCACCTGGCCCTTTCCCACCTTGACCATCTCTGGATACGTCCTTGGAATCCCGGGGCTTCTGAGAATGCAGCTGGGGACCCAGTGGAGTAGATGATTTCTGGGATCCCTCGCCCCCTCTGCCACGTGGTCTAGATCTAAGACCCTGAGAATGCCCGTCTGCGGCCACCCCCACCCCCAAGCTGGGCACCTCGCTGTGGGCTCGCCACAGTCATGAGGCGAGTATCTGAAGGTAAGAGTGTGTGAGGGGAAAGGAGTGTGAGAGGTGTGCAAGTGCACAAGCACCACACCTGCAGAGGCTGGATGCCGCTGGCGATGAGGTCGGAAATCATGCGCACGTGGGCCCTCTTCTTTGGGTCCTGAGGCAGGAGTCGCGGAGTGGGCCGAGTCTCCTCCAGGTACTCAATGATGGCCAGCTGTCCAGAGGGGAGCAGTGAGGCACGGAGAGGGCCCGGGACCCCTGGACCGGCGGGGACAGGGCCAGCAAACTCCTCCTCCTCCTCGCCCTCCTCAGCTGGGGCCTGTGAAGCCAAGAGGCTCCCCAGGGAGGTGAGCCCTTTCTGGACCCCTGTCCTGCAGTACTTGGTTCCCCATCTGCTCATTTTCTTCACTTCCCAAAACAACCAACCCTCTCTCCCTCCCGCCTTCGCTCCCTCTGACAAATGTTTATCATGCCCCTACTAAGTGCTAGGCCCCAGACACAGGCAAGGAAGGCTGGGAGGTCCTCTTGTTAAGGGCACCGTTCTCACGAGGGTCTCCCAGGCCCTGCACTCACTGACTGGCCAATGGTGGTCCCATCAATCTTGAGGGCCGGCACCTGCTTCATGGGATTCAGTTTCTGGAATTCCTCAGAGAACTGTGGAGACAAGGCTCTGGTGGGCTCAGCAGCCTGGCCTGAGTTGGCTAAAACAGACCAGGCAAGCAGGAAGACCCCAGGCGTCTTGCCCACCTGCACCTCCCTGCCCTGGGGAAGGCCCTGGCTCCTAGGCCCAGGGGGATACCTGGGGGATCCATGCAGTAGGCCAATCAGGGGCTGCTGAGCTACAGGCTTCATCCCAATGGCCTGGCTATGTCTTTTCCCTTTATCTCACACTGTGGCCATCAACGTGCATCCAGAGGGCCCAGGATGGGGCAAGGACCCACTCATCACCCACCCTCCTGGGCTCAGGCACTGAGAGGCCAGGTGTGGTACAGAGCTTGGAACCTGGGCCTTTCCCATGGCTCCTCTTGCTGCACAGCCAGCCACCCTGTCCCAAAGGGAGAGCCAGCAGGTTCACCTCTCTGGGCAGAAGTCTGCAGCCCCCAGGCAGATCCCTCTCCAAGGTCTCTAACTCCCACACTGTGACCTGGAAGTGGCCTCTTTACCTGTTGTCCCCCATCCTTTATGAGGTTGATGGGTATCGTTTCATAGTCAATGCTTTTCAAGGCCAGAGCTAGGAGAGACCACAGACAGCAGGGTCGGGGGTCAGCCTCTCGCTGAACTTCCCAGGGCGACAGGAGGCTGCAGAGGGAGGCTTCTTTCTGCACACTGCTGGGTGGCCAAGGCCTGCCTCGGCCCTATCCCCTTCTCTCCAGCTTCCCTTGTCGCCGCCCCAGGTCCAGGATGCTCTGCCTCTCATGCCCCTGAACCCTTAGAACCTTACTCTCCATACCCCCAGTGGGGCTCTCATGCCCCTGGGTGGTGCCATAAAGGTGTGCTTTTTGGCACACCGTGGGCTCCTGGAGGATGGCAGGGAAGTGTCCTGTTCACCTCTGCCCCCTCCAGGGCCTTAAACAGTGGTGAGCAGGGCTTGGAGACACGCACTTGTTCCCCCATGAAGGCCTCTAAGGGCCAAGGGAAGGTGCTCAAGCGACCATACAGGGTGCGCACAGGCAGCTTACACTCTTCCTGTTTAGAGAAGATCCCTTTCTAATCCATGTTCTCTGTTCTCAGAGCTGTTTACTAGATTCCAAGCTGGGCATGAGGCCCCTTTGGTAGTCTCAGAGCATTTGCTGTGACTCTCAGTGACCAAATGTCCCCTCCATCCCCTTTGAGGTCTTCCCCTGGCAAGGTGGGAGTAGAAATGCTCAGTCAACCCTAGTGGAGAAGAGCGAGTGTGTATGCATGCACACTTGTGCATTAAAATATAGTGATGGCGGTCTCAGGCAAGGGCAAAGGAGCGAGGGGAGGAGGACGAGATGTGTCACAGTCTAAAGAGAGCCTGGGGGACACGGGGCTCCTCCTCAGTGCTGGTCAGCTCCACTCTGGAGAGTGAAAGGGGACGGGGCCAAGCGGCAGAGGCCAATGCACGGAGGCCCTACAGAAATAGCGCTCATGCTGCTCAGGCTCCTGGCCCAGCCAGGGCAGAGGCTCTGGGCCCAGGGAAGGCATCTTCTTGGAGCAGCGTGTCCTCTGGCACCCAAGTGCTCTTGCCCACTGATTCCAGCAAAGAGCAAGTGACTGTGGGATGGGGGAGGGTCATGGAAGATGGCTTCCCAGTTAGCGCCAGGCTCCTAGAAGCGTGCTGCCTGGGTTCGAATTTCCTTACATTCATTTGCTAGCTGTGTGGCCTTGGGTAAGTAACTTCATGAACCTTGGTGCCTCAGTTTCCTTATCTGACAGGCAGCATGATGTAGTAGTTAAGAACATGGACTCTGGAGCCAGACTAGCTGGTTCAAACTCCAGCTCTGCCTCTTACTAGCTGCATAATCTTGGGCAAGTTATTTAACCTCCTTATGCCTCAGTTTCCTCATCTGTACAACAGGGACATTGTACTATTACTGCCCTCCTAGGGTTGTTGAGGTTTAAATGGAACTATGCACACGCAAGCAGAGTTCCCCCTCAGGTGGAGCTGCTAGGACTATGACCTTTGCCAAGGGCTGGGCGAAGCCGAGGGAGGGAAGGATCAAACTAGGACGAAACCAGAGGGCCCCAGTTTCTGCTTCCCCAAAGCCTCTGGGATTAACACTGGCCAGTTCTGTTTAATTGACCAGATCAAATAAGATAAGAACCGAGGGAGGCCAGCTGTTCCCTCCAGTTACCAGGGACCTGTGGAGTTTGTGAGCCTGCTTTAATCTGGTTGCTAAGGGGGTTTGGAGAGAATGTGGGAGAGGCAGTGGGCCCAAGAGAAAAACCACCCTCCCTTCCTGCGCCCCCCACCCCCCCTGCCCTGTTAGATTTCCTAGGAGCAGGTATGATTCAGGGCTGAGGGCTCCAGGAGACTGGGGTGCTGGTTGCTGGGGTGCTGCCCTGTCTGGCAGGGCCCTCCTTCTGTCCCGGGCCAGCTTTTCACCCGGGGCTCCCTCCCCACGTAGGCTCTTGGAGGAGGTACAGCTCTTACCAATTCGAACTCTCCATGAGCAGGAGCTTCGGAAATAGGAATAGAGGATAGGCTGAGAAGAGAGAGGACGAGGACGCATGTTAACCCATGCTTGGTGGGTGTTCAGCCCCAGGAGCCCAAGGAGAGGAGGCAACTGCCCCCAGACAAGGGGCTCCAAGCCAGCGTTGTTTCTTCCCATCACGCCAGGCCTACTTTCTCAGGCCTGCATCCAGGCAACTCAGGCCAGACTCAGAGCTCTCCGGGTCAGAGGCCTGGGAGTCATGTGGAGCCCCTCGGCTCCAAACTGGCATCATGCATTCCTGAGGTCTGAGGGACCCCGAATGGGGCAGCCAATGTGCAAGTGCCTTCCTTACCTTGCCAGACTCGGTCATGGTGCTGTGGTGACCCTCGGCCTCTCAGGGAATGTTTCCTCTCACCCAGCTGCAGGGCAGGGGGCGGAACCCTGAAGGCGGATCCCATGAGCCAATGGGGAAGCTGGGGCTAGACAGGCATGAGGGGACCTTTGACTCTGGAGACAGGGGATCTCTTTCCAATTTGTGGGAAGTTATTTTATGCTCCTAGTGGAGCCAGGTTTGGCGTCCTGGGCAGACAGGGTGGCCTGGTTTTGAAGCAGTAGTTCAGGTGGTGCAGTGGGCTGGGAGCTGGCAGTCCAGGGGTCTGGTCCCAGCGCAGGAACTAGCTCTGCATGACCTTGGACCAATCCCTGCCTTCTCTAGTCTTTGGCTCCCTCATCTGTAAAATAAAGGGTTGCCCTAAAATGATAGGTTAATTCCTTCCAGCAGTGGCAGAAAGACCAGGAATTCTGTTTTTGAAGCTTTGGTACTCATCTCTTTCAATTCACCACCCACCAGTCTTCCAAGCTCTCAGCTGGTCTCATAAAAATAGCTGGAGGATATGCCCATTGACTCCAAAGCTGAGGTCACAAGCTGGCAACCCAGTGTTCTGTTTGGTTTACACTGTATTTAATAATGTTTCAGTTAGTTGCCAACATTAAAAAATCAGGATGTTTTCTATACAAATCCTGTTGTCTGTTTTTTCTTTAAAAAAATCTGGAGACAGTGGACTCCGGTTCCTGAGTAGCAACAATTGATCAGAGCTGATTAAGGGCCGCCTTCAGTCAGGGCAGGTGTTCTCTGATCTGCCAGGGCCCCCACCTGGCCCATTTCTCTCATTTTTATTATCTTGAGGCCCCTGGAGGCAGCTGAGTGTCTGACCTCTCCTCTAAAGTATAAGGGACTCAAAGTTAATTTCTCTGGTGCTTCTTGGGTAAACCATCATTTCAAAGCAGGACCAAGGACAGAGGTACCAGTAATTAGCACTCACGAATCTTCTGGCAGACACATTTGTATCCAGATGGATGAGGGAGAACTCAATGGAATTTCTTAGATCAACCCTGTCTACCATCCCTCTGACTACAGACATTTCACCACAGTTCCCTCTCCCTTCTGCACCCCTGCCACACCAAGCTGCTATCTGACTCTGCTTTCACCATCCCTGAACTACCAACTCTGTCTTCTAGGCGGGCAAGGGCAAGGGCATGAGTGGGAACCTGGGCCCTCTCAAGTTGGTTCCCGAGCCTGGGTGTTCCAGTCTGTACTGAAGGCACCTTTTGTGGAAAAATGAAGATGGTCCTGGCATGGAGGGCAGGTGACAGGCAGTAGGTGTCCTTGGAAGGGGAGGAGTTGGGTGGCCACAATTGGATGTGCCCTATTGGGAGGTGCATCCCTTTCCTTACCTGGTCAGGCTGGAGGAGCTGCTGGGTCCAAGAGACGGGGACTGGTAGTGAGGGTTGGGACCACTGGAGAGCCAGGTATTAGCTTAGAATCCTTGAAGAAATGCTTTATCTAAATACTAAATGTTACACCTTTGACCTGTACTAAGAGTGACCACAGAGTCACACATGCCACTGCCCTCAAGTTTCCTCCTTATGGGCCATCAGGAGACATGATGGAGGGCAGTTTCTGCTCTTTCTCTTACTGACGATAACCATCTGAGCCATGCCACATTCCTTTTTGCAGTTGTAGAACTAAATTTTAAGTCCAAGTATCCGTCTCATCACCACTCCTGAAGGAATTTGGTTTCCAATTCAAATATGGATTCTGACCACTCTAGCAGATTTTATTTTTAAACACATGCTTTTAGAGGATTCCTAAAATCCCATTTGGGAGTGGGAGGACTATCCATTACTAAAGTGATGCTATATCCTACCTGATGTGCCTGCCACCTTCCTTGGAGCTACAACAGCAGTCCTCAAACTTTAATAAGACTCATCTGGGGCGCTTATTAAACATGCAGATTCTCGGGCCCCCGCTCCAGTGACTGATACAGCTGCTTCGAGGCAGGCCCAGAAAGCTGCCAGGGTGACTGTGATGATTTAAAGCAGCACTGCCTCCCCTCGGCCCTGGTGCTCTCTTAAAATGCAAACGACCCTAGAAGACCGTCCGTTGACTGTTAGGACCTGTTGGGCCCGCCGGCTGGGAAAGGAGCACGCAGGGCTTTGCGGAAGAGGGAAGCGAGGGCCGACCTTTGGAAGCCCTAGCAGAGGGCTTCGGAGAGGTAGGCGATGCGCGAGGTACTGCAACTGCAGCCCGCCCAGCACGCCCCACGAGGGCACACCGCCTCGGACCCACTTTCTCCAGGCCTGCAGGCTCCCACACGAAGCGCGCAGGCGCGGGGCTGGGGGAGGCCGGGGCCGACGCGGCGCACAGCATCCTGGGAGTCGTCGGAATTGTGGGCAGCGCCGAGCGGTTCACCTTTGACCCCACCCCCCAGGGTTTCTCAGGGTTTCTAAATAGCGCCCCTCTCCCCGGATGCGTGGCACAGACCTTCCCCGCTTGCATCTCGCACTTCCAGGCCAGGCAACTTCGCCCCTGGGACTCTCCGACTTGTCGACGATCGAGGCCCAGTGACACCCGACACGTCAGAACCTAGGCGTTCGTCTGGGTAAAGCGAGGGGCTGGACGAGAATGATTTTTGAGCTCTCGTTTAGCCCGCCCCGCCCTGCCGCCACGCCCCCACTCCCGGCGCTGCTGGGAGTTGCAGTTCCTTGAGCCCGTTTTCCCCCGTTTTTCCCCGGCGCCCCGGCCCTCGCAGCCCGTCATGCTCTGCGCCACTAGCCGCTTCCTAGCGGCGACGGCGCTCCGCGCCCAGCCCAGAGGCCGGGGTCCCGCGCCCCGCTGCCGGCGCCGGGAACTACATTTCCCAGGGCACCCCGAGCTGCCCCTTTGTGACTTCTTGACGGGGCAGCTTGGAAGACCCAGCGTGCCTGCGGGCCGGAGGGCGATCCTCAGGAGGGGAAGGATGCCGCCGGCGGTGGGCGGGGGCCTGGCAGGGTCGGAGCTGCGTGTCCGGAGGGGCCGCTGTGGGTCCCAGGCTGCTAGGGCCGTAGGTCCGGACGTGGCCGTCGAGGCTGCAGCGCGGAGCCACAAACGGCCTGCTCCGGGCTCGCGGCACTTCGAGGCGGCCGGCCGGTGGGCCCTGCTGGCCCTGGTGACGCTGCTGTCCTTCGCCACCCGCTTCCACCGTCTGGACGAGCCGCCGCACATCTGGTGAGTGACAGGAGGAACTCCGCGGGCACCATGGCAACCGGGAGGAAGGGGACGCGCCCTCTGATTGGCCCGGGGGCACGGAGGGGGCGGGATTCACAGTAGGAGGGGCGGGGCCGCACTGGAGGGGAAACTGAGGTTTCTGGTGGCTGCCTCTGGCCAGGTGGTCTCTGAGAGGAATCTTTTTGCTGTGGTGGGTGGCAGTGGGATTCCTAAGGACCTGAGGAAGCAGACCTAATGTCTTGCAGGTTATGCTGCAGTGTCTCACCTGGTTCTCAAATTGTGTCTTTTAAAGATGCTTTGAACTTTCCAACGAGAATTGGAAATTCTTAGTACAGATATTCCTAAGCTCTGAGTTCCTAATCTGCAGGATTTCCAGGCATCAGTGGAGGGGACAAATTCCTAACTGGGTACCCTCGTTCTCGGGAGCAGGGACAACTTGTGTGTCCAAGGATGGTGACAAGAGTCCCAGGAAGCGAGTCTGGAGTCATCCTGTGAGGAGAGACTTATTTTCTTAAAGTTTTTGTTTTGTAGGACTCAGTTTCAAGAGTCAAATTTCATTAGCTAAGCTTAAAATTTTCCAGCTGGAAGGAGGAAAAGTTTTATACAATCTGATAATGGGTAATTTGTTAGGCCAACAAGTGATACCATGTTTTCTTAGTATTACCGAGGAGAAGGTTAGTGTAGGGGATGTTAGAAATGGAACTTCTTGACCAAAACTCAAGCAAGCAAGCTAACAAACCCAAGGGGGGTTCTCCTACTTGGAAGTTAATAAATTAGCTAGTTATTGTTTCGTGAGTGCTGCCAGAAGACGTGAGACTTGGAGGCCAGAGACAAAGGACTTATTACTCATGGCACAGGAAGCAGGATGAGCATCAGCATATTGGATTCAGTTCCCAGTGCCCTCCAAGTTGCACAGGGTGGCACTGTGGGCTTACGTGGATGACTGCGTACACGGTGGGTAGCCTTGCAGCTAGGGAACAACAAGCTTGGGGAATCTCTGTTTTACATTAAGCAGTAAGCAAGCTTACTCTTTGTCCTGGAGAGACATTACCTCATCTCTCAAAGTTGCTTGTTGCAAACACAACTCTGAGAAGTGGCCCAGGTGAAGTGCAGTCAGGGCCTTGCATTCTTGCCCCACCCAGCAACATGCTTGAAAGCACAAGAGACTCACGGAGGACTGTCTCTCCCAACAGTCTCACCCCTGGATCCTACACTGTCTTGACTTCTAGCAAATTTTCACATGAATATGCAACTCTTTTGGCTATTCTGATTAAGCTGACTGACAGACGCAGGAGCCAAACCTATTCAATTTGTCTCATACAGCATTTAATTAAGGCTACACTCAATGGGACTCATAGCAGCGGGATGAGGCCAACTTGTGGTGTTAACCTCAACCATGCCATCCAGGGTTCTGGATTCAGCCGCCTGTGAATAATTGCCTGTGCGTGGGTGTGGGGAGGACCAGTAAGTCTTAAGACAGCTAGAATGTAGTCTAAGCCCAGTCTGTTATCCATTATGATCTGTGCACAGGTGTTCAGACTGACCTGTGATCTTTGGTGTCATTGCTAATAATTACAAGTCCCTTCATTAAAAAAAACAACTCCCATACCCAATGGAAAGACATTCCATGGCCCCTTCTTCCCCTCATCCTAGCCTATTACCTGAAGAGGTGCAGGTCACTCCAGTTCAGGAACTTTTGTTAAATTCCATTTGGATCACCATCAGATTTGATTTAGATCACCATTACAGTGGTTTGGTTAAGCCACTTAGGCAGTGAGTATCACTGAGTAGTTGCAGCTTCAGTTGCTATTGAAGGCATAACCTAAGGCCTCTAGGGTGTCAGGAGAAGTGTTTCTATCAGTCAGACCGATAGAAGGTTGTGCTGGTCTGTGTGTTTGCACACACATGAGGGAGGTCCATGTTTGGGAGCTGGTGTTGATGGCATCAGGCAAATCCAAACAGTTCAAGACTGGCCATGTCCACATGAGTTTTTCTGATTTCGTAGTGGGATGACAGACTGCCATCAGATTGCCAGCTAGGGCTGTCACTTATTTGTATGATATGAATGTTTCGCCAGGGTGGGTGCTGGGCCTAAGGGACAAAGAGACCATGTTTCCCCTCTCTTTACATTTCCAGGAGTCTAAGATGTTCCCTTCCCAGGTGCCAGGGTTGTTTCTTTCCTTCCATTGTCATATAATCAGTATGTCCCACTCTAGTAGCTGTAACTTCACCTTTTCCCCAGTTATCCTCTACATCCAGACCTCTTTGCCAAAGGCGTTGTTAGAAAATTGACAGAGACTCATTATGTCTCCCACGTTGGCCCGTGTGAGCCACTGTAGGGGGACTTGACAAGCTGTGTACTCAACCAAGTGATCATTATCTTTATGCTCCAGGACCGTGTCACTCCAACAACAAAATCTAGGTGACTGAAGGAGAATTAAGTTTGAATCCCATGGGACACCCCCTCCACTCTGCCCAGGCTGATCTGGAGTTGCTGTTAGGGGAAAGAAAGACAAATCATACCCAGGAATGTTTGGGGAAGAATCTCAAATTTTCAAGATACGTTATATAACTCTCTACTCCTTTTGTCCTGATCATGACGCAGTTGGTGGCCAAGAGGAGATGAACCCTTTCTGATGATGGCTACATTAGGTGATCAAACTGCTTTACTAAAGTGTGTGAACCAGGAGGAGGTGAGGGAAGTAGAAATCTTTTTGAGACGACTGTTTAGGGCTTGAGAATATCACATGCCTGTGGATGGTAGGGAGTGTGGAATGTCATCAAATACCTTGACTATTGGCCCACTCTTGGGTGGTCATTGCAGAAAAAGGTACACCATTGTCAGACTAGATGGTTTGGAAAGCCGAAAACATGGCATAGTTTAGTTTCAAGGGCCACAGTGGTACATCTAGAGTCAGATCATTGGACTGGAACAGCATCGTCAACACCGTAACCAGAAAAAGTGTCAGCAGCAGTGAGGCACCACTGATAGACTGGAGAGGGAAACAAAGTCCTAATATGGTCAGTTTCCTTGGAGTGGGCAGGGTCGGTGCCCTGTGTAATGTGGCTTCCTTTACTGCAAGGCAAACAGGCCAGCTTTTGGAGGTGTCACAAGTCACCACAATGCAGTGATGGCTTCTGCTTCAGAACATACAGTCCTTTACTTTGTGCCCCGTCTACC